AATTCTCACAGAAACCCACTAACAGGTCTAAGTTTATTTCAGACATTTATGTAACACAAAACGAAGTTCAATACATCAATTTTAAGATACCTAACCTATATAACCTGTTCTTTCCTTATCTACAATTGAGGTTCTAGCCCTAGGATTAGCTGTGCATGTCATATGCTCACCAATGACCTTTTCAGTAAACATGTGTGATAAAAAGTCATTACACGTTTTTGCCTTCTCTGCACCTACTATGAGCAGCTTTCCCTTTCTTGTAGTACCTCTTCTAGGTGTCAAAGGTTTCCTTGTTCTTCTTCTCCCTATTAACGGACTAATATAATTATGTTATATTAAATCTTCATTTCTCTTGCTAGTTGCACCTCACTGAGTGCTTTGGGCACTTCTTACTTGTCTGTACATGCGTGTGTGTGTGTTATTCTACCATGGTTAGTATATAGAGAAATTTTCTTCATTATGTCTAAGGTGAAAATAAAAATGACAATTTAGCCAAGCTGGTCTTTTACACTTTCTTTTCTTCACATTGGTGAAGCTTGTACTATGTTTTTTAGCAGTGTTTTGTTGAAGAACCCACAGATTTCTCTTTTACTTGCACACTAGATATTTTTTTCAAAATAAATTATCTGAATTTATTGACATCTACCTTCTTGAGACTTTTTTTTTTCCTGGCCAGTCTGTCAGTGTAATTTCTTTTCCAACAAGTGCTGTGGTAACTAAAATCTTCCATTACTATCAAGTCCAATGGCTTTGGATAAGTACCAGTAACAACCATGTACTTTTCTGCCTTCATGGATACCAACAGATATTTAACAGCTCTAACTAATCCTATTTTTGAGATCTCAAAGCAACCATCATATTTTTGAAAAACAAGCCAACATTTCCTCTTCTTGCTGAAGAAGTTATATCCTCCACGTGACTGGACTACTAGTGTAATATACACTATAAATTTTCTTCAGTGCCAACTTTGCCATAATCTTCAATTAATTCTTGTCTATTCCTCATTAATTCTTCTGTTAATTCTTCTCTGTTCCCCTTTCTTCTTCTACTAGTATACAAAAAGCTAAGATACCTGGCAAACTGACCCATGGCTCTTTGTCTAGTCACTTCTTTAATCCTGTTTTAAATAATCCTGTCTTTCTCAGGGGTTAGACCTATGTCCAATTTGCATTATTTAAGATGATGATTTTTGTCCTTGCCACATGGTTTTTAATTTAAAGTTCTCTTCTCTCGGAATAGAAGCTATGTAGTTATATTTAGGGTGTATCTGACTGATGCTTGACTTGGACGTGAGAGGAGAGACAATAATATCTCTTGAATCTTCAGCCTCTTTATCCATAGCCATAAAGCCTTATAAGGATTTCTGATTTGCTTAGGATCATTTTCGGCAGTATCATTAGTATTCTTTATCATATGCCAGTGATTGGTAGAATCCTTTGCAACCTAGCAAATTTGGATTCTCGTGAAGAAACACACCAGCCATAATGTAAGCGCCAGGTGGCATGGATGTCTCCACAACACCTTGAGTAGAAGGTTACTAGCCAGCATCATCTTTTATTTCCTCTTGGTAATGGACTCTTTGTACTCCTTGGGGTAGTGGTTTTTTTTGGTCTGTTGTCATCGAGATGATTTCTTACTTGCTCTCTGGTCAGCACTCCTGTGTTGGATTTCAGTGGTAAGCTACTCAGATGTTGAATGCTATATGCCCTCAGAGGACACGGGCAGCCATCTTCGCCTCTGTAGTTTCAAGTCCTCCAGTACCCTGTACTGCTACAAAACTGAAAGCTCTGCTTTAAATTTTTTCTTTCTGAATGCATGCCCTGGATGAAGTCCTTATGACCACACACAGCCAGTTTTGATTCTCTCCTTTCACTGCTCCTCTAATTGCTTCTTAAGAATTTCCCCTGGAGACCTAAAAGAAGTCTTTCCAGATTTCACCAGTAGGAAACTATTGGCTAAAGTTCCTATAAATCCATTCAAGGATTTAATCACAAGATGTCATCATTGTCTAATTTTAAATATAACTATTGAATTATCAGTGTATGACATATTTCCTCTCAAATGTTTTTCATGGAGAATGAGATGCTATGTAGTATAAAGAGCTCTTCATGCCTGGTAGATTAAGAATATTTGTGCTTGAATTGAATATATTTTTGTTTTTACTAACAGTTCATAAAAACACTGAAGTATAATATGAAGTACAGGACTAAGTAAGTATTAAAATGAAGGATTCCTTATCAAGCTACATGTGCTCTTCAGTATTATCAGAAATTTTACTGTTTGCTAAAAAGTTATTAGACAAGAAAAGTGAAGTTTCCTGAATACAGTGCTCAATAAGCTAGATGCTTTCAGTTCAACACTAAGAGAAACAACTTTGTACAGTCTGAACATTAAATACATTATTTTTAATCTCTACTGGATAGTCTTTTTACACATATATTCAAGTAAAACTACAAAACTCATAGACTTATATATAAACAGATGAAGTATCAAAAATGATATTACCTGATACCATACTACTTAATTTTTATTCCTAAGCATAGGCCAGATCTTTGTATTTGGCTGCGTATTTGGCTCTTAGCACAGAGCCAGGAAGAAGAGAGAAGGTGAAAGAGAAGTTCCGAGATGGAGTTTAGGTCCTCGGTACTACAACACTCGGGCAGATAAAACCCAAAGTAAAACACATAGGGATCCAGACAGTACCAGCTCCTGTAAGTAATTAGGCAGCGGTTATGTGAGGCACCTCTGAGGAACACTGAGGCACCTGAGATGCATCTTGCCAATAAATTGTAGGAGCTTAAATAAAAGAAGCACGGACACACACACAAGTTGATTTGCTGCAGAAAACTTCAAAGCAACCCCTGCATTGGGGCCAAAGACCTATCAAAAAATCTCTTAGGTATTATCAATGAGAAAAACCTGTATATTGCCTTGTGGTAGTTAATAAATGGTAATTGACACAAGCTACAATCTTCAGTAAAACACAAGTAAAATCTGTTGTTAAATATATAAATATCACTGTAATAAGGCTCCACTTGATTGGTTACTTCAGTCTGCTAACTATGAGAAATAAAGACTCCTTATTTTCTGCTAGATAACCCTATTAATTTGTTAAGAAAAAAAAAAGATTATAATTGACATATAACATGTTTTATATAATGCATTTGATATTATAATAGTTCTCTTTGATTTGCTGCCTAAACTGTGTTTGACTGAACCTGGAAAAGTTCCAGAAATGGAAAACATACATGTGAAGCTGCATGTAGCCAAATCTATATCAGAAAAAAAATATCTGTATTGCAGTCTGCACGTACAGCAAAATTAAATAAATTTAAGAAAAAGTAGTTGTATTTTGATTAATAGTACATAGCTTGATTTCTTTGTTAAGAGCAAAATCAGATTATCATTCTAAACTAGCTAAAGACCATTAAAGAGCTGATAGAAAAGAAAAAATGTTGGTTTGCAGGAAGCTTCACAGTGAACAGAAAAAAAGTTGGGACTCAGAGTCCCCTCTGGGTAAAGAAGCAGTGAAGAAAAGAGGAGATCTCCTGCCAACTGGAAGAGCTGAAGAACCAAATGCCACATTTGAATGCCAAGAAAAATAATTCATGCAGTAGAAGCCAAAAATGGCTGATGACAAGAGTTGTGAGATATGTTCTGATCTTAAAAAAAAAAAAAAAAAAGAAAAAAAGAAGAAAAAGAAAAGCAGTGGTCGGTCACAGGAATGGGCAGAGTAGCACATACACATCACTAAGTTATGCAAACTTGCATGTGCATGCTGTTGCTTTTGTCTCCTTTTTATAGCTCTTACTTGCTGTGCAACTTCTTAATGGTAGCCTGATTTTACATTTGGTGTCTGTGTACTACCATGATAAAAAATAGTAACCAGCAAATTCTGAATTACTTACAATATCTTCAGAAATTATTAACTGTCTCCTAACATGAAGTTTCCCTATGAATAATTCTCCCTTCCAACACTGCAAGTTGCAGAAACAAAAAATAGCCTTCCAGGACAACATGCCTAGTACTTTTCATGATATTGCCCCTCACTCTTTCAGAAAAAAATAATCTGAATCTGCTTGTTTTACCTTCAATTATATTTGTATTCATACCATTTTCTCTTTTTCCTAGAGTCCCTTCTCACTGTCCAGCCACTGTTAAAATAGATGTGTCAACTCCATTTAACTGATAAGACAGTTTTTTCCTATAGAGATATAATTTAACAGTTGTTAAAATATTAAAAAAAAAAAAAAAGTGATAAGGTGTATAGTCTCCTGCCTAATACATAAACCCAAGTAATTGCATGCAATTGCTAGCAGGGATGTACCGGTACATGTGAGTTAACATAGCTTTGCCTCAAGACCAAATTATTCAAACATACAAGTCAGTTTTCTTTGCATGAGGTAGGAAGAAGACATAGTAAAATACTTTCAAAATTCTTATCAGCACAGTTGCACAGGTTTATGCTGACACACCAACAGAGTAGTCATGACTTAGAGTTCTTAGAATTCACTGTGGCAGGGAAGGTTTGCAAATTTTCCTGTCTTTGCTAACACCAGTCACTGGCTGTCAGCAACATTTTCAGCCCTGTGCCAAATATTTGCTCGAAGCAGCATTAGATAATAAAATGCTTTAAAAAGTGTCAGCAGCTATTGGATTATATATATTCAGGGTCCCATCATTCCAAACAAAACCTCAGCTGAAAAAGATTGGAAAATATCCCCCTAGTAGAACGGCTTCAGTACAAAGACATTAATGGAATATTTTTTCTGGTAAGATTTCAAAGCAACATTAATGACTCCAATATACTATTTAAAGTAACAGCTCCAGGATACTGGGCCTAATGCATGTCTAACAGTAAACAACATTGATTCCTTTCATGGTTATTCAAATACCTACAAATGATTTCAACACAGTGAGTTACTGAGCAATATTTTATTCACAGTTTCCCTATAGACAGTGAAATCAAAATTAAACAATAGTTAGTTGTTTATACTTACTTGTAGTGTGATCATTCATCTCCCCCAGTCCAGTATTAATTCCTGCATCTATTGAACTCATGATTTTATCAATCTGCAAAAGAGAGAACAGTGAAAACAATTGATCGGCCCTATCTTTCTTATTTTATTTTAGTTTTCATGCATAAATTTATGGCATTATTACTCTCATTAGGAAAACAACAATCAAGATTGTAAAATGCAAAAACCAAAGGTAGACACTTAATTTCTCCACTTCGATTTTTATTTTGCAACATTTGTACATTAGCAAAAGCTAAAAGTTGATACTACAGTACAGTTCCTTTCATACTGACGATTCTGGTCATCTAGATATATCTCATTCTTTGAAACTACTTTGTCATATTTCAGTATATAAATGCAAAGGAGAAAAATGCATATATTCAGCATATGACGGAATCGATTTTAATTTTATAGGCTTGTGTCATTTGATGATAACTGTGAACCACTAGAGGTCTATTTAAGCAGTAATATTAATGCACAAGTATATTGTTTTGTGTGTTATAAAGTGCTAAAGCAATTGTTCAATTACAATTTCCAGAGAATTTCCTAGCTCCCTTTTTTCCATCTGCCCCAAGGCCACCAAATAGGTATGAAACACAGCTGTGTCCCCACACACCTCAGAATGACATTGTTTGTGAAACAGCACTACATTGATCCCAAAACTCATTTGCACATTTCTAAATTACATTGAACTTACTATGTCAAAACTATTATGGCTATTTTATTTTCCCTAAGAACAGGACAAAACAAAAAGTGAATCAAAAGGCTGATGTCGCCTAAGGCGGCAGACATAGAGAACCAGGTTTTACTGAGCTTAATATTAGGACCATTAGGAAAACTGTCTCCTTTCTAAAAGCTATGTATCAGTCACTAGTGACAGGAGAAAATCTGGGAATTATGTTAGAATCTGCAGATTTAGAAATCATACCTTTTTTTTTTTTTTTAATAAACATTTTCCTTCCTCTTAGGAACAATCAAACCTTGATGTCTCCCTAAAAAGGAAAACTTGGACCTGATTCATTTCAGGATTTCATAACAGTGTATCCAAGTTACTATCAAAACCTAATCCTAAGCACCTTTCCACTGAGAAAGTATCTCCTTTACAAGAAAAATTACCTTCAGGTGTCCTATCAAATCAGACATTTAGATGAGCTAGAAACCTTTTTCTAGAAAAATAACCAATCACCCAAACAAGCTCTGGGTGCTTTCTGCAATAAAATGGCACTCTATAGATATATATATTTCCCCATTGTGGTCATTTTAAAAAGAAATGCTTGCTTCTCTATAATAGCAGTAAAGATCTAAACATTTCCCACTCTTCATTTACCTCAGTAAGACGGGAACTTTTGCGTCTATGAAGAATCGTTTACATTCTTGAAATTGAGCACAGGAGGAAAAAAAAAAGTAAAAAAAAATAATGTGTCTAAAAATTATTTTAAATCTACCTCGAAAACTAAAATAAAGTCTCCTGTATGAGCAAGCATGTGCCCTACAAACTCACTATGGAAATTACTTTTAATAGTCTTGAATTCATCATAGCTATAAGCGTATTCCCACTTCACACAAGAGTCAAGTATATAGTGTACAGAGGCTATACACCAGTTAGGGGATATGTTACATTGGGAGAGTTTGTGGAATGCATAATCAACCTCAAAAACTTAGACTCTCCATTCCTGCCATTTTCTCTTGCCTCTTGCTAGCGGGCATTGCTATAGTGGGAAATAATTAGCAAATAAGTAAATAATGGGCATAGCTACAATGAATTTTACCCCTTTTATTAATGTCAGTGGTGAGGGCTTTAGTAGAAAATAATTTCAATGTCACAACAAATTGTAGAATTACTTCTGGTTAACTTCATTCACTATGGAAACAATAGACTTAATTAAGTGTGCAGCATTTTGAACAGAAGTGCATTGCATTTTGTGCCAGCTGCCAAACTACCATGCACTATGACACACTCTCTGAGGATTTGCAATGTGGACAATGCACTTTTTATTTCATCTCATCTCTGAAATGGAAAACAGTGACAGCATTTTCACAATACCATGTATTTGCTTCTACTGAAAAATGAACAAAACTTACTTCTTCCCATTCTGATGTGAAGGAAGGTGTTCTCTCCGAATTCCCTTTGGAGCACTGTTGTTTTGGCGTGGGTTCGCTCCAGTTGCTTCTTGCTTTTTTGTCATTTGGTGGATGGGTGATAAGATTAGAATCGGATTTTGAAACATTTTTGCACAAATGCATTTCAAGCAAAGTCTTTGGTAAAGATCGTATCCTCCCAAGCGTGCATGCACGCTCCACAAATCCCCCAGTGGTAATAACCCATTGTTCACTTATCCTTGTTGACGTGCCAACCAACGTATGATTTTCTACTGGCTTGGTTTTAGTATGAAATATGGTTCTGTTTACAACTGGTGGCTTTTTTTTCTTCACAGGAGGATCGGTGTTGCTCTCTTTCCGTAGCTGTATCTGCTGCACTGTGCTCTTGCTCAAAATGTTTTTTTCTAGTGGACCACTGCACTGGCTTGCTTTGCTGTACAGCTGGAGTGGATTGTCAGGTGGGTCACACGCAGGTGACGATCCATGAAGTAAACCTGCAAACTGTTCAGCGGGGTGTCCTTCAGGAAGCTCACTTTCAGTGGATGTTTCTCCTTGGCAAAGACGCTCTGAAACAAGAAAGCACCTTGTAAAAAAAAAAAAACAAAAAAACAACCAACCAACCAAAAAAACGGGTGACAAAATACTGTGAACAACAAGACCCTTACTCTCCACAAAATGACTTCTGTATGCTGCTTGGTTCTTACTTACGTACTGAAACAAAAGATACTTATGCCATGAATTAGTTCATTAGACTCTTAAAAGAAAAATTCTCTCCTTGAACTTGACTATTTTATCCTGACTGGTTGAAAAACAGCCAAACCAGCTCAGTGCTACACATCACATCCGGGAAAAAACAAATTTATAAAATAAAATAGGTCATTGCTATTCCATCAACTCGATGGTCTCTTTTTTAATTTGTTATTCAGTTGAAAAGTGTACAAATTATACAGTTTAGTATGATGAATTAGCTAGTAGGTAGCAAAACACATGAAGAACCAATATTGTCAGAAGTATTGTTAGTAATTTTTCTTTTTATAGTCATTATAATAATAGTGAATTTACACTATGATGCCTTTTTACTGATAGTCTTTAAAAAATAGATCTGAGTGTTTTATTTCTGGGAAATTGTGAGAATAGATTCAGAGTAATAGTAACCATCGGGAAAAAAAGAATAGGAAATCAAAGCCTTTTGAAACAAATTTTATATGCAATTTAGCACACACGCAAAAAAAAGGAACTACAGAAAAATGCACTTTTTGGCACAGTTCAGACTAGATTATTAAAAATGTATAGTTCTTTTTATACCTGTTGCTGTAAGGACTAGCAGAAAAAAAAATAAAGTAGACCTTTTTTCTACCAGTGCTGCCTCATTTAAAGTGTTGGTGTGGATAACGTCACTCTGTCCACAAAGCATTAAGTTAGCATATCTTTGTCAGAATAACTGTGTCCCCAATAACAGTTGCATCTCTAGAAGTTCTTCATTAAAGACAAATATGTTCACCTCATTCCTTCTGCTAGAAGTTGTATATTCATATGAAGACTCTAACTGTAGGATCGTAAGCACAGCAATAGCTACAAGAAGGAATCAAATGGAGCACCATGTAACAATTTGCAAAGAAATTGAGCAGTTTCCTCCTATTTGCTGAAATACCTGCTTGTAAAAACACCCCACAAATCTCAAAATATCATTTATAAAATAAGGCAGTATTTGATTATATGAATGATAGAAGAAAGATTTTGGTGTGTACTTCAAAACACCATCAGCTCTTTTACTAGTCAGCAGCTTAAAAATATAAAATCACACTTTTTTCTTCTTTGTTAAAATATCATGATAACATTCTAATCAAGATTAGGAATGCAACCTAAGAAAATCTACTTATTTGGGAAACAACTGACTAGAATATACACTTCAGACATTTTACAACTGAAAATATGTGGGGTGTTATGGTGAAAGATTGAATGTGGCAGAGCTTAAGGAATCAATAATGCCAGAAAAGTTGGTTTGGGGGGGGAAAAAGCAGGGGAGAAGGAGGACATCGGACATTGGCACTTCCTTTGATTTCTGAAAGTTGCTGAATTAATTGTATGTCTGCGATTTTGAAGGTGAACTTAAAAGGAAAAATAAGTAATGCAAATAACGATTGACACTGGTATTTTCCCCTTCCATGAAAAACTCAGTAGCTGGGATTCTGCTCCAGATTAAGATATCTCATTTTACATATCTACACGGGCAAGAAGTATATAAGCTGCCACCATATTCAGGGGCCACGTTGATAAAGTCATTGGATCCTAAAGAGTGATGCCACTCACTATATGTTGTGGCTGGTCAGCTGAATCACTCCCTGTACTCTGTTAACTGTATTGACTAGACTACCGATGACTATAATGGCACATGACATCCAGTTTGCATTCAGATACCTACATTTAGATGTCTTAGTCATGAACTGAATCCTATTCTGCTGTTCTGGAGACGAGTCTTACAGCTGTCTATTGAAGTCATTTAAGAGGTAAATGTTTTTGTCAGGACAAAGTAAGAAAGAAGAATAAATCACAAAAAAGAAAAGCATACGGACACCTGGATTGCAAGGATTTAATTAATATCTACATCATCTTCACTAATATCTTTGTTACATCTATACTACTAAATAAAACTGTCCAACAGCTCTTAGGATCTAAAGGAATTAGTAGGCTCATGTCCTTTAAACTGAACTCTCCTCCCTCTCAAGACAGAGCTGGCCCATCCCAACAATTACTGGGAATGGTCTCCGGCCTCAGCTAAAACTTGTGCAATGTCTGGGTACTGTCTGGCTGGGTACTATTTGGTATTGGCCATACCTTGGCAAAACCCACACAACAGTTTAACAGTACAGGCTGCCAAACAACAACATCATCTCATGCCCTGATTTTGTTCAGTTTATTCAGTTTACTGTAGACAAAAGATGTTGTTTCTGACAACTCCCATTCGTCTGTGATCAGTAAATATACGTAGTGACCACCAGAAATTGTGTGTGTGTGTCCGTCTCACTTTCTAGCAGTGAAGCAGTGACAGAATATCAAAACATTACTGTTGGTTATTTTGTTAGTTGAAGTAGAAGTTTGCAATGGATTCAAATATTGTAGGTATATTGTATGAACCTTTTCAGCTTGATCTTTCAGTACAGTTATTGTATTGTGCATATATAAGTGTGTGTATATATATTCTACTGTAGGTACAATTTTCATCTTTGAAATACCCAGGGTATCAAGACATACACATAAACACTTTAAGGAAGCCAGGGAAGATGACAACAAAGGTTGCCCATGCAACCTTTAGTCTTCTTATGTGTCAGCAGTACTGTATTTCACTTTCTATGTGATCACCTACTATTTTTCAAAAAAAAAAAAAAACCCTTCCTGTTTCATTTAGCATTCAGAATAAAATCTGCTCAGTGAAGGAGCAGCTCTTCAACATTTTATCTTCTCTTTGTTCAAAAAGAGTGGTCCTATTACCTATTTACTACACAACATTCAATTCTTCTTTGAATATAAAATTATTCAGAACCTCCTCAGATTTTTTTTGAGGCCCATTATTTAAGGGGTTCACAAATATGAATTCACATATCTTTACAAGGTGGGGCTGTAATGTGATAACATCCCAATTTGATAGATGAGAGATAAGGCACAAGGAAATAATGCTGAAAATGTCCACAAATTTTAGGCATCCAATTTGAAATTCTTTAAATTTTGCTTTCTTCAGAGTACTTAACACTGTGTAACACAGAATATTTTCAAAGCACAGTTGCTATTGACTTCAGCAGTTCCATAAGGCAGGCCCCTAACGTCTCAAATTCAGCATTCAAAAGAAAAAAGGAATGCTGTTAATAACTACTTGGATAAAGTTTGGTCTGTCTTGATCAGCATAATAAAAGCTCTGGCAGAGATAGAGCGGTGTTCAGCTGCCTCAGCTGTCATTTCTTTTCTTTGATACCTTTTGCTTTGTTAATTATACGAAAAAGGAAGCAAAGATCTCACAGCTATGCCTTCTTCACCTCATGACTTCGAGCAATGCAAACCACATCTATATTGGGCAATGAAAAAGACGGGTTGTCATGGAAAAAAAAATAGTATGTGGTCACAATAAAGGTTAAGAAGCAAGCAGCATTGCATGCTGCACCACAGCCCTAGAACAGGTTATCCAGAGAGGTGACACGTCCATCCTTGGAAGTTTTCAAGACCTGTCTAGGAAAAGTCATGTCTGACCTGATGCCTTTCCTGCTCCAAAAAGGAGGATGAATTAGATGGCCTCGAGACGTCCCTTCCAACCAACAATTTAATAATCCAATTATAATTCTGAATCTTTTGACTTTTGAATTGATAACTGTTAAATCTAATGCTCTTTTAATACAGATTTGTATTATTTTAATTTCCTAATGCAATTAATGTTTAATACTTTTATGTTCAGAGAATAATGAGAGCGCACAGATGGACTATACCACTTCTCTAAATAGTATAGTAGCCTACCACTCACTGTATTGTTCTAAAGAAATCATAGAAGGAAAAAAATAACCCATGCAACAGAGTCATAAAATAATTTCCCAGAGTACACTTTTCTTTCTTATTCCAAGTCAGTATTTGTTGACCTAAGACCTGATGCATGAGATATTAAATAACCTCTTCAAACCTCACCATATCTAAAACTGCAACATGTTTTCATTGCTTATGTGAATATCCAAAATCTGAGTCTCAAGATCTTAAAGTATGAAAGCCTCTAAACAGGATAATATAACGCTGCTTCTGTATCCTTGATAAAATAAGCAATTTTACTTAAAAAAAAAAAATTAAAAAAAAAATTCCTTAGCTTTTAAGACTTACCCATATCTGAGATTGGTGTCTTTCTATTGTTGCATATTTCTGCCACAAATTTTAAGACAACTGATACTGAAATCAATATTTCTTCTACAGCTTAGTAGTGAGGCACAAAGTGTGACATTTTATGGATTATTTTCTGTTTTTAAACATGTCAAAATTATTCTTGTTCTTTTGAATACTGCTGTGCATTTAAAAAAAACCCTCTCATTAAGTTGTCTATACTGATGATCAATGTCCTGTATGGTTAGAATTAATCTTAAATCTACCAGTATATCTAAGAAATTCAGACTCTCCATTCCTATTGTGTTCTTTCCCCTAACTTTATCATATGTTTTGAGCCTGTTCATTTGATGTTTTATTTTTATTTGTTTCAACAAACTTAACTGGCACTAAGAAATGCTATGCGATTATATTGCATAGGTCTATACTCAGTGAACAGTAAGATAACGATGCCAGTTTTGCTTTCTCATGGGTTTTGAATGAGTCTTCCGAGAATGGACTTTAAGAAAGAGCGTAGGGATACCAGGGAGAGAGAATAGGTGAAGAAGTTCAAGCTCTTGGATGGAATCCCAATGGAGAGAAGTTTTCTGCTTATGACACCTAAATATTCTTGCAAAAGGAAAAAAGTTATTTTTGTAATCTTAAAAAAAGCCAACAGAAAAAGACCTTGCTTCCTCATCAGATACTGCTTTTCTTACCACCT